TGTGCTGGGAGGGATGGGGAACAGTTCATGCCTCTCCCCCTCTCTCAGCCTCTCATGACTCGTCACACCTCCCTCCATTGTCTTTTCCACGCTGAAGAGCCCTGACCCCTTCAGCCGTTGCATGTGTGGGAGCCATTTCACACCTCTGGCTCTGCTTGCTACTCTTCCCTGTGCCTCTCCCTGTCTGCTGCAGCTCTCTGCCATGAGGGAGGACTCAAGGGGTGGGTGCATTGGGGATTTAGGCACTGGCCTGGTGATGTTTTCTGCTCTGTTCTCACTTCCTTTCCTCCCCAGTCCTGAACCATCCTTTGCCTTTCCATCCTTTGCCTCCGCCCTCATAGTTCACGTACTGGGCTCAGCTGTCTGCACAGTGAGAACTAGAGGAAGGACTGGAAATGTCGCATCCTTTGCCTCTGCCCTCATAGTTCACATATTGGGCTCAGCTGTCTGCACAGTGAGAACTAGAGGAAGGACTGGAAATGTCGGGTGGATTAGAGACAGTGTGGGTCAGTGTTTCCTTGGAGAAGGTGTCATGGACCAGAGGGAAGAGAGAGCCAGCAGAGAGGCCGGGTTCCTGTCATGCTCCTTTGGATCAGCCTATCCTGCACCCTTCTCCCAAGAGCTATATTGTGAGCTCCAGGAAACTGCTCTGCTGCCTTTGGATGTTCTCCCAGTGAGTGGTAGTATGGTAGCAGGAAATTGCAGGGTCTTGCACTGGGAGACTTGCATGGGTGGAAAAGACCAGGAAAGGTCCTAGAAAGACCTGAAACTGGACAGAAAATAATGAACTGGGCTTATGAGTCACCTCAGACTAAAGTTCAGGGTCTTTCGCCTTTCAGATGTATCTTTTCAAACCCTTCCCTGAATTTTGGTCTGCCCAGAGTGACAGTTTCAGGAAAGCCAGCCTGGGTAGGCCAGCATGCAGTGATTTGGATGTAATGGTCCTGGGTGTTCGCTGAATATTTCTGGCAGGCCCAGGGTGAGCTGTATGCTCTGCTAGCGGGGTCTGCTCCTCTGAAGGATGCTGTGTTCTTGTATCATCTCCACAGCAGCTGTGCTGCTCATCTGTACAAGCTTCTCCTTATGCCCTTTGCCATATGCCAGGATCTTCCCAGCTCAGAGCAGACCAACAGTGGCAGACCCCATCTGTGGCAGCCAAACCAGCATGTCTGATGAAGAGCTGTGGCCCCACGCTGTCGCTTGCATGGCTCTTGTGCTCGCCAATGCTGTGCAGGGCTGTACTGCATGGTCCGTTCCTCTGCCTGGTGGGAGTCTGTGTGGGTCCTCTCACAGAATCACAGAATGGTTGAGGTTGGAAGGGACCTCTGGAGATCATCTAGTCCAACCCCCCCCTGCTCAGACAGGGTCCTCTAGAGCACATTGCCCAGGGTTGCGTCCAGGCAGGTTTTGAATATCTCCAGGGAAGGAGACTCCACCACCTCTCTGGGCAACCTGTTCCACTGATCAGGCACCCTCACAGTCAAGAAGTTTCTCCTCATGCTCAGATGCAACTTCCTGGGGTTCAGTTTGTGCCCGTTGCCTCTTGTCCTGTCACTGGGCACCACGGAGAAGAGACTGGTCTCATCCTCTCGACACCCTCCCCTTCACATACTTGTACACACTAATGAGATCGCCTCTCAGTCTTCTCTTCTCCAGGCTCAACAGGCCCAGCTCTCGCAGCCTTTCTTCAGAGGAGACATGCTCCAGTCCCCTCATCATCTTTGGAGCCCTCTGCTGGACTCTCTCCAGTACTGCCATGTCTCTCTTGCCCTGGGGAGCCCACAATTGGACACACTA